TTTCTACCGAACCTATATATAGAGCTTGTAAGTGTAGTTGGCCTAAAATTAGCATGGCAGCGAGGCAGGAGTTGAAGTTAAGTGCGGTCTTTTTTATAACTAGCTTATAACCCGGCCCTTTGGCCGGAATGCTCATATTTGATTATTTGTATTTTTATGTTATTTTTAAGTCTATTAACCCGTTTAATTTTATTGATAATTATTCGATCGAGATGATACATAACGAAATAATATATAGGTCGAACATTCAGAGAAATAGCATAATCATTTAAGAATATAAAATATAAAAATGTATCATTGAGCCCATTTTCATAATGCTAATTAAGTCCCTGTTAAAATACTATTCGTTAGTTTTCTTTGACAATCAAGAAATATAGAGTATAAAAGCTCACTGAAATTTTCACACAACCCATAGATAGTTTGAAACTAAATCTTAAACCTCACAATCCTATATAAAGGGTTCAATGCTCTCCTTTTAGAAACAATATGTCACTAATTAAAAAGAAATAGAGAGTTGTTGATTCAAATCATCTATATACTAAAAACTCAGCTAAGAGGAGACCATCACAACTTGAGAGCAAACGAAAAAATCAGGGTTATCTCGAATATACGAATAGACTCGATCAAAGTAATAAGGCGCAAAATTAGACACTCCTTATCTATTAGTTCCAGTAGGTTGAATAAAGAATTCAAACAATCAATCAATGATTCCTCGTTTTAAGATAGAAATAGGTTATGACAGTTGCAAAAACCATAAACCTAAAGATCCAATAGCCACCACTCTCCGTTGTACAACCAAATTTCTATCTCAAGAGGCATATATTCAACAAAAATTTCAATTTCTAATCTTTCTTCTACAACTTCAGTTATTGATGAATCCATTCTATTCGCCATAATTGATATCGGAGTTGAAATCTTCTACTCGCCCAGCTTAAAATCCCCAACAATAAAACCGTAGTGCCAAGAGATACCTGAAGATTGATTTTCAATAACAGTCTTGTACTGGGAAGTGAAAAGCGCAAACTATTGCACGTTGAATGCAACAAGCTAAGGTAGAAAATGAAAGCCAGAAGCAGAATGTCTCGCAGTCGAGCCAGCCAGCCCGGCCATGTGGATATGAGAAGCAACGACGACGACGACAAGTGCAAGCTGCAGAAGGGGCCGCCTGCCGGCCAGTTGGGTCAGCAATCACTAGTCATTTCATTTCTCCCACTATTTTGTATTCCATTCATTGTCCATATCGCCTCAGAAATACATGTTCATGTTCTACCCTATACTATTCCCTCCTCATATTAATTAATTAATTAATATATAAAAGTCCAGGTTGTTGCCCAAGGTAACATAGTCTAGTGGTGAAACCACTTTACAAATTGAGATTTGGATGTGGGAGGTCCTGAGTTCGATTCCCAATGGTGCCATTTGTACGTTTTCAATAACAGTCTTGTACTGGGAAGTGAAAGGCGCAAACTATTGCACGTTGGATGAAATTTCGGAGGAAGTTAGAAAGAGAAAAGAACAAAGATAAAAAACACAAAATTTAAATTGAAAAATGCGAGGATACAAGAGTAGTTACATAATTAGTTTCTTCCATGTTGGCCAATTACCCATTTACCTTTAGCAAAAATTAAGGAGAGAGCGGGAATTTAAAATTGAGAAAATTACATGAAACTCTACTATGAAAATAGAAGTATCAAGCTCGATTAAAATACATACGGTAGACTTAGTGAGCTTGCTAATTATGATGAAAAAGTCCTCTGATTTTCAGAGATTAACTTTGTCTATTTTTTGTATAAAAAATGATGCAATAAATTTGTTTAGTGTAACTAGTTGTGCTTGTTATCTTTGTTTGAAGAGACCCGGGTTCAAATCTTGATATTGCTATTTTTATATGAAATAAATAATAAATATGTAAAGACAAAAATGATCTTCCTATTTTCACTCTCGTTGCAGGAAATTTGAAATGGAAAAAAGTACACAAAACTCTACCATATATTAATGGAGGATATAAATCATTTCAATGATTTTCATTTATAGTGTAATAAATTAAGTTTACGTCAATTTTATTTCAACTAAACATATACACAGAGCCTGTTAGTGCAGGTGGCCTGAAATTAGCCGACGAGTTGAAAATGTTCCTTTTTTCATAATATAAATTATATAAATGGAGATTTCATTAATAGTGTAATATATTAATTTTGATGTCAATAAAATAACAAGAAGCATACTCTTATATCACCTCAATCAAGGTGATAAGATCGATCAATTTCATAAGCATAAATAAAAAATTAATTATTTTCTTATCAAAACTTATTTGGCTGAGGTCGTCGAACAAATCCACCGCCCCGGCGACCAAGCCATCCATTTCACTCCACGTGTACTCCGGCCAGCCCAGCCAAAACTCAAACTCGCCGGCCGCCCTGATATTTTTATGACCGCCGTGGTTGACACACGGCCACGTGGGCGGATCCATTAGTCTTTCTGACAGTTGGCCTGGGCCGGGGGGAGCAGCCACGTCGTCCAGTACGGATTTTGCCTTGTCATCATTCTTTAGTTGTCTTGTGCCACTTGTCCTTTTTCTGCTAAGCTAGTGGCGGAGGAAACTAATTAAAATTAAATGAGAGCCAAAAAGCCCAAGTTGGGAAGAGAGGAAGAGAGAGAGAGAGAGAGGGACCTTTGGCGTCTTGAAGAGCCGGTTATTCTGTGATTTGGGGACAAAATCCCCCAAAGCTCCGACCCCTTTCTGTAGCTGTAAGTAAGCAAGGCTGATTTTATCCATTACACGTTGGATTTTAATTATCCCCTTCTACGCTTTTATGGTAGCGGTAGCTGAAAAGTACTAATTATAATTTAAGATGACACGATCCACGTTAAGTATCAAGTCCACGTCAGTTTTTTTTAAAGATAAATAATAGGGTTATAGGTATAATATGCCCCTCTACTATGTCGTTTTATCAAACATGCCTCTCTAGTCTACTATTTTTTACATTAAACATGCCCTGTACTTTGGAAAAATTATCAAACATGCCCTTCTATTAAAATTTTCATTGAAAAAATTGTCAATGATGGTTGAACCGAGATTTAAACGACCCGATATCGGCAAATGGGAGAAAAAATGTCAGTTTTGTCCCCTGTTTTATTTCTCTTAGTCTCGTCAAAGTGAAATTATTAGAATTATTTGGCTATATAAAAGAACCAAAAAAATTCTAAAGTAAAATTATTCGGGATATTTTAGACATTTGTGCCGCCCAAACAAAAGTTTGGTCGTGGTTAACGGTTTTTGGATAAAATTTTTAACATAAGTGCATGTTTGATAATTTTTTCAAAGTACAGGGGCATGTTTGATGTAAAAAGTAGTAGAGGGACATGTTTGATAAAACGACATAGTAGAGGGGGGCATATTATACCTATAACCTAAATAATACGATCCCGGTTAGAGTCTAAGATGATGCAATGCAACCACTTTTACAGCCTCAAACGGTGGAGTTTTGCTTGTGATTCAAGTGTGACTAGTAACAGGGGATATTACATTTATGTATTAACAATTTATTATCAGCTTTCGAATTCGTCTACAACCTTTTCTTTTAAAATGAATTTGGCTAAAATTTGCTTCTACAAATTGTGCTGTGTCTCCGTTTTTTTGCCGCAGCAATGACAAACTTCCCTCCGTCATAATGTATTCGACTTGACATTGTTTGTGTGCCACAGAGCCATTCATTTCTGTTTCTTTGAGTTGGTGTTAGCAATATTCCTCGAGAAAGTATTTGTCCCTTGTAACAGTCTCGTGTTCTTCCAACTAGTCTAAAAAAAACAAACAAATGAGCATTCCTCTTTTTCCGAAGAAATCAGAGACTCCATAATTTCATCTATCATTGAATCCACATTACAAGTTTCATCCACATGAAATGTTTGAACTTGGGTAGTACTTTGGGCTAGAAGTTTGGTATCGATATTTGGGATATACCGAATACCGTACCGAATTTATTACTATTTGGTATTACCAAATACCGTTTCATGTTTTAAGGATTGTGATTCATTTTGGAGTGTTATTCGGTATTTGGGATTACGAGATTGAGATCGGTATATACCGAAATACCGAGAAATACCGAAAAATTAAAAATTAATGAAATGTAGAACACAACCTTTGGTCATTCCTCACTCTTTCACAACTTAGAAGCCCCCATCCAACTCAATTTTGACTATCCAGTGTAAGTCACTCTTGTCTCTCACCCAATCTCTTGTTATTTTCATAACACAAAAAAGCAAACACTAGTTTTAGTCGTCTCTCAACCTCCAATTGATCAACTTAAAGATTACCAATGACAATAATTTGAGATGCACATCTCCTCCATTCTCCTTATCCATATCCTAGCTCTAGGCAAACTCAAGACTCTTTGTTTAGTCTCTTTGCCCTAAATTCAATAATGAAATATAATTTATATATTTAACTGTTAATTGCAAAATAATTAATTTTGTATTTGATAATACCGATGGGGAAACCGAAATACCGATTGGGATACCGAAATATTTAGGGATTGGGATACCGAAATTATTTAAGGATTGTGATTGTAATTGAGATTAATTTTAGGATGTAATTCGATATTCAAAATTTCGATATTTAGTATTGGAATACCAATACCGTACTAATTTTCAACCTAATAGTACCTACATCAACCAAAGCCTCTTCCACATTTGTGCACCTCTATTAGAGAGCACGTGCTGTTGTTCCTTGAATTCCTCAAGCTATTGACGGCAGCCATCCATCACTATATACTAGTAGGAGTTATTTCCCTCCTAAATCATTTTATCCACTTACTATTGCCACAAAGAGATATTTGCTTAATTACCCAGGCGATATTCGCGGGAAAAAAACATCTACCACCTTTTTGTCCTCATTGTTATGTATTCGTAGAATTAAATCCCGACGAGACTGCACCCGACGAGACTGATGATGTGCGATTTTAATGCAATCAAATTATAAAAATCCTAGAAATCTTCACGATGGTATTTCACAAAAATTTCTAATAATTACTCACAATCAATCATCTAATTCAATCATCTAATGCTCAAAGGATGGCAGATTGATAATGGTCAAACGACTTCTTCGCTTCATTCTAGCTGGATTCCACGAGTCCACCCTTCTCCCCCAATATATAATCCCCAGGTCTTACCGGAAGGGGGTGGTGACCCTCCGGTGGCAGAGGTTATTTGTGCAGGGGAAGGGCGGTGGAGTGATTCTAAACTTAGACATTGGTTTGACCCGTCAACCTGTCGGGCGATTAAAGATATTCCCCTCCCACGTCAGGATGTGACAGATAGACTAATCTGGAATGACACGGCGGACGGGATATTCACTGTTAAGTTGGCTTATCATCTCGCTATCTTATCGGATAAGAGGAGAGGTCGGTGGAGATCTATGGTGAGTTGGATGGACAGGTCCAGCTGGATTCGTTTGTGGGAAGCTAATATCCCGCCTAAGTTAAAGGTGTTTGTTTGGCAAATCCTTAATCGGATACTACCAACTACGGAGGCCCTAATTGAGAAGGGTGTCCCGGTGCTTCCTCGTTTTCCGGTTTGTTGGGCAGAGTCTGAAACAATGGAACACTTGTTTTTTTACTGCCTTGTGGCCCACGCTCTATGGGACTATTCGGAGCTGGAGTATCTTGGCCGAGGGTTGCCTCGTCACACTTTCCCACTTTTTTTCAAAAGGTTGATGTCTCTCATTCATCAACCAACATTGTTTATGGAGGTTGTTGCTGTCCTTTGGAGGATCTGGCGATCTCGTAACTGGGTTATCTTTGAGGGCAAGCAGTTTGGGATCCCTGCCTTGATGCGACAGTTTAACCAGCAAGTTGAGGATTGGATTCGTTTGCCAGTGGACCCAGTACTTCAGGCTTTCACTCCTGCGCCAACTCACTTGAGTCCTAGGGGGTCTAGTTCGGTGGTGTGCATGTGGGACGGGGCTACCTGGAATGGGTCTCATGCGGCAGGAGGAATGGTGCTAATGACCCCAACTAGAGAGCTCCTTTGGCTAAAGGGTTTCAGTTTTCCAGTGTAGATGACCCTATGGTGGTTGAATTGCTTGTCCTGCCGGAGGCTATTTGTTGGTGTCTAGGTCGAGGATGCACGGAAGTTAACTTTGAGGGGGATGCCAAAGTCATCATTGACAAGGTCAATCTAGCAGAAACCAGGATGGGGGCTGTGTTGGAAGAAATTGTCCATTCTTTAGCCGTTCATTCCGGATGTAATGTACGTTTTGTTGGTCGGCGTAACAATAGGGTAGTCCACTTGGTGGCTAGAAAGGTCCTCTCTTTGTCTCCGACTTTGAGTCGTTTATTTGATTTCCAAGTCTGGCTGCACTCTAGGATGTAACTATCTTTTTTGTAAATCAATATATGATTATCTTTTGTCAAAAAAAAAAAATCATCTAATGCTCAATCCATAACTTAACAGAAATCAATGTGTTGAGTTTTCCTATGTTTATTGGTTTTCGAGATGCCTCAAGCAAAACATAATATAAAATACAAGATAAGTATAGATACGCATTGATAAGAAAGATAATCTTAGATGATCATACATTTCAATTTCAATAATGATAAGCAACGATGCATCTTCTATCATGTATCTCTATCTCTTCCACTAAGGCCATCCGACTCGAGTTCTCTTTTCATGCAATAGGAATAATGACTAGCTAATGCATGTTTTTGCTTCATGTCACTTGACTAATTAATCAATCAAAGAATTACGGATTAACACATCACTATTGAGGGCCTTTGCGAACCATAGTGATGTTCAATAGCATTGATAATCTAAGGTATCGGGCATTGCACATAGTCGAGTATAGATGGTTGATCATTCCATTTCATACACAATTAAGACATTGACATATCACATAATTTGGGTTTCCCATGCAACACATGGTGATATTATAAACAAGGGCTAATACCAATAGGAAACCCGAACTATCAAGAAAGTGTCATTTATGTACTGAATTATTCAATATTCCATTTATGTCCTAACATCTGATAGTTGTGTGTCATTTAGGTCCTGAAGATTTTGTTAACTGTTATAGATAACGGTTGACTAGACGGTGGTAAACTTGATGTTGACTTAGGAGCGGAATCAGCAAAGCGATTAAGACGATTTGGAGATTTTTGTAACTTTTTATTTTTCTAATATTGACGGTCAAACTCGGACAACACTAACAGAAAAATAATTGAGGAAATAAATGTCATATTGAATAGTTCGGGACATGAATGACACTTTCTTGATAGTTTGGGTTTCTCAGTGGTATTAGCCTATAAACAACACTATAGTAGCACATAATAAATGAAGAGGGCATCACAATATTAAAGCATCATATAACTAAGATACTCACGTTTGACCTTGAAAAGCACAAAAGAATACCTCAAAAGACTTAAAATGATAGAAACACACATCTTATGCTTCGATAAGCACATTGATCAAATATGTATGATTTCTATAAAAATTATAGCAAAATACAAAAAAGCATTGATAGAAGAGGAAAATATATCAACTATGAGAGTGATAAATATTATAATTTGAGTGTCATCAAAACTACACCACACTTAAACTTTGCTTGTCCCCAAACAAATACTACTCACAATCGTACAACTCAATTAACACAAAAAATGACACTTCGCCATCGATCTTAGGTAGTGGATCATAAGTGAACTTTCAAGGTCAACAATAGCACGAGAGGACACTCCAACTATATCAACATAATCAGAAATTTATAATGATCTAAATATCATGGCATCTAGAAATATCAACATAATCATTGCATCTCATTCACTATTAGATCCTTCATAGTCACTACACTAGCCTCCCTAGATCAACTGAAATTCCTAGGCTCATTAATTCAAAGTAAGATGAGTAGTGAACATGCTTGTAGGGGACGACTAAACAAGTCAATTAATAGAAAACATCTTTGAAAATTTTGAAAAATCTGGCATAAACATCATACTACTTCATAATTGGATAATTTTCCCCCCAAATTTGAATGACTACATATATAAGAAGTATAAAGCACAATAAAGCAGAGATTTCAATATGCTTCCACCTCACACTTTAAACATGACATTGTCATCAATGGACTAAAACATAGGCAAGCAACGAAAGGACTTTGGAAGTCCTCCGATGCTTCATACTCTAGCTTCTCGATCTTTTCTAGCAACGACTTTGACCTTGTACCCGATATCTTGGGTGCATTTGTGTTTCAACTTCGGAGTTGGTGGAACTTCTTTCAACTTGTCTCCCCATTATAGGTCTTTATCGTAGTGATGATATGTTTGAAACCAGTCTTCAAACTAGAAACACCTATTTAATTAGAAGTAATTGAAAAGTATTGTTTGAAATAATTGGAAAGTGTTTGTACCACCTAGCTCGAAGTATGAACAATGATATTTGTTGGTGTGGGGTTGACTCGCGATCCGTTCATCTGATCTCGTTGGGAGGGAAGAAATCGGTGAAAGAGCCGGGGATGCCCCCCGGATTAAGCTCCAACGATGAAGTTAGTTTCAGTTTCAGGAGAGAGTTGAGAGAATAAGGTAGAGAGATAAAGTGTAGAGAAAAAGTGGAAAGTAGAAAGTCAGGAGGGAGAAGAAGCCCCCCTCAATGGAGAGTTTCCCGCCTTTATATACTCGTAGCGGCGTTCGAGCGGAGCACGTTACCGATTGAGCGTGCCCTTATTTAGTCCGCGCGTGGAGTATTTAGTAACACCCCCAACAGAAAGTATTGGGTTTTTGTAGACAAAATTGAGAAGGATTACTATTGGGTATATGAAAAAAAAGGAAGAGTTAAGATTGAAAGGTAGTGACGAAAAATGAGTCATTTGCAAATTACTGCCCCATTTTATTTTTCTTTGGCAAACGAGTCATTACCAAATTACTCATGTGATGTTGTAATTTGAATCCAATTCAATCCAATAAAAAATTCAACTAACCCTATCCATTTGATCCAAATCCAATAGATTTATGGATTCATTAATTGTTAAATTTTCTAATCAGTTTAGTATTTTTGTTTTTGTTCAATTTGATACCTAAATTTTATGTTTGGAGAAAAATATCATTATAAATTACATTTTAGCATCTAGATTTTTCATAATGACATTTTAGTTCCTAAACTTTTCAAAATATTTATAATGGACCAAAATTTAAACACCGTTTAGATACACCATTCTAATTCATAAATTCAGCAATCTATTAATCCAATTCATTTACCAACCTTATACTTGTAAACTCTGATCGACATGCAAAGATATTTGCGATCTTCCATTAGAATCAGATATTAATGATCAATAAAATATCCTCCATCAAAATCATGGAAAACTGTTACTGGACAAAGTTTAAATCACGGACAAGAGGGGAGGGGTTGATATTTGAAGTGACAACGACATAGAAAATAAACCTAATTTTGTTAATCTGCACAATCAGTGGAAAATGTTATTACACCTCACTGATGACGCTACGGCCCACCATATATGTTAAGGTTCTTTCACTTTACCGCTGTACACATGATTAATTGTTACAACGACTTGTCTAAACAAAAGTCAAAAGGCAACAAGGAGAACGTTTTTCATGCGTACAGGTTATTAGTATACTTCAATTGATGATATAGTTTTCCTCGATAAATATTGCCAAAAAAATATTATATTTATTGAGATTAGGTTGGAATAATATAGGTCGAAATCAATATGTATATCATTGATCGCTAGCATGACTTTGTTGTACTAGTCGGAGCCCGATACATGCGTTTACGAGGTGATCCACTGCTAGTAAGATTGTAGCGATTAATCCCTATGCCTTACAAGAGTGATCGCACGAACTGGTAAATGATTGATCTCTTGTCCTTATCTCATGATTAATTAAAAAATGAGACAATCAGCCATCACACTACACATTTATAGTTGTTTTAAGTATATTTGTGTTTACATTAGATTCCTAAGATAAGTGCGATGGCAGGTTAAAGCAAAGCTCTAATGAGATTGTTTTTTTAATCATATAAAATCGTGTAGTTTGTAATATTTGAACATGTGACACAGTAGTTATTAACAAACATAGTTTCATTCTATTATAATTCATTTCTTATTCTAACGTGATTGTTGATTTGTTACTTGTTGGTGAAAGATTAGCAGTAATTGCCCATGAATTGGCAAAATGTAAAAAGAAAAAAAAAACAGGGAAATAACCGTTTAATCATTAAAACGACCAGTATTGAGTTACTATAACAGCACGCGCCTGTATAGTCTGAAATTTTGGAAATTCAATTATTAGCTTATTAATTTTTGGTTTAGTGCATAATAACGAGCAGGGCATTTTTGTCATTCTCCACCCCTCTCTCTCTCTCTCTCTTCTGGTCTGGGGGGCAGAGGAAGCCAGGGAGGTGCCTATAAAGCCAACTACGAAGGCCATGTCAATCCTCACACACTCCACAATTTTCTCTTCCAACCATTACCGCCAAACGCCAGCTCTCACCCTTTCTCTTTGGTCTCTCATATACTCTCCGATTCTCTCTTCCCAATCTCGCAAATGGAGGCGCCAATTCACTGCGCACCAGCTCCAGACGCTCTTTTCAAACTCGCCGGCGACGACGCTTCACCTGACTTTCCTCAGCCGGACGTCCAGATTCTCACCTCCGCCGGCCTCCACATCCCGGCTCACGCCGCCGTTCTGGTACCAACTCTCTCTCCCTCTCCCTCTCGCTTCTCATTTCCTCAATCGGCCTCCATTGGGATTCTATCTCGAATCAATTTCGTTGTGGTTATCTCGTTTTAAATTCAATGCACGGGATCTGAAGCTCAATTTTCCCGGTTCTATTGGTGTAGGCCTCGGCGTCGCCGGTACTGGAGAGTGTTGTAGACTGTCCGCTCAAGCACCGTAGCTCCCAGAGGGTCATTCCGATCCTCGGCGTTCCTTGCGCCGCCGTCGCCGTCTTCATCCGACTCCTCTACTCGTCAAGGTATTAGAATGTTCATTTTGACTATTCAGTTGACCTTTTCCCCTTTTCCCAAACGTCGATGAGAATCGTCCGGTCAATGAGACCTGCTGAGAAATTTGACGGTTGATAATTAGTATTATAATTCATAATGACTAAATTATTCTTTAACTGTGAATCTGCTTGCTTCATTCAATGGCCGACGGGATAACTTCGTCCACTAAACCTATTTTTGTCGGTCACGTAATCGTTATTAACAATTCCTACATTGGAGGGCCAAGAATATTTATTCCGTTTATCCATGGCAGCGAATTTCTGTTGTTTTTTTTTGGGGGGTTGGATATGATCAAAATTGACAGGGATGTATTGCTTGCCCAATGTCATCAGGTATGAAGAAGATGAGCTGGGGAAGTTTGGGATCCATCTCTTGGCGTTGTCACACGTCTACTCTGTTCCCAAACTGAAGCAGCGATGCGCCAAGGCAGTTGGTCAGAACTTGACCATAGATAATGTGGTGGATGTGCTTCAATTGGCACGGCTATGCGATGCGCCTGACCTTTACATCAAGTGCATGAAGCTGGTGTCCAACAACTTCAAACCTGTGGAGCAAACAGAAGGGTGGCAGTTCATGCAAGGCCACGATCCCTGGCTTGAGCTCGAGATCCTGCAGTTCATTGATGAATCTGAACTGGTAATTGCTTAAATATCCACCCTCCTGAGTCTAATTAAGACTGGTTTGGTAAGGATGATAAGTGAGCTAACTGCTAGAAATGGGATGGTGGTGGTGTTTTGGTTATGCAGAGGAAGAAGAAAGCTAGAAGGCACAGGGAAGAGCAGCGGTTGTACATGGAGCTCGCGGAGGCAATGGATTGCCTAGAGCACATATGCACAGAAGGGTGCACAAGCGTTGGGCCGTATGACGTTGAGCCTAACAGAAAAAGCCTGCCTTGCAGCAAGTTCTCTACTTGTCGAGGGGTTCAGCTTTTGATCAGGCACTTTGCTACCTGCAAGAAGCGGGTTAATGGAGGGTGCTCCCGTTGTAAAAGGATGTGGCAGCTCCTCAGACTTCATGCTTCGATATGCGAGCAGCACGATCTTTGCAAAGTCCCTCTTTGCAGGTAAATTTGGCCCTCCCCCTCTTATCCTTCTTCAACCATCATGTCAAATTAGCGTGTGATTCATATGCAGGCTTGTTTTGTTTTTTTTATTGAGCTTAGGGATAGTTGATGTTTGGTGCTGATTACTCGGTAGAATATATCCCTTTTTTTTCTTCCTGGGAAAACCAGCTTGCACTATTTTGGTGTATTGCTGCACATCCTCTGGTCTAAACTGAGTCCTCTCACCTCCGGAACTTTCCAAGTTCCGACCTTCCCCACCGGAATAGTGAGACAGATAGCCATAAAACCCATAAGGAAGAAAGTGCTGTACACGCAACGTAATTGCTACCTTCCTTCCCATCAATGGTCCTGATTGGTTGGGGGATTCGTTGTTTGGGAGATATTTTAATCATGGGGGGTCCCTTAACATCTCCACTATTTGCCTTTTGGCTGCTTGCTGAAAAGTTGAAGCGTCAAGTTTGATTGTTACGATACTTATTAGCGTTTATAATGTGACCATATGGAAGAGTCCTTTTTTGGTATTGACAGTTTCGCCAAACTTGATCATGTGTGCGGTCCCTCCAGGTGCAAGTTGTCACTGTTTCTCTAATCTCTTTACTGCGACCTTCCTGGTTGGTACCCCGTTGGGCCACAACGGATAGACAAAATGATAACTTCCATGTTCCATCCGTGTCTTCTCTCTGATTTACTTGCCCTTCCTTTCCTTTCCTTTCCTTTCTGATCTATCCATCTATCCCTGCTTGTGATGAGGGGCGTTATGGAGTATGGACTTACCTCCCACTTCAAGACAACATTTTTTTGTCAGCTGGTAAATGCCGGGCATCATTACAGAAACAAACTTATAGCCGTAGGGTACCCTTTGAGTGTCTCAACACATGTCTGAGCCATTTTATCCCCATAGCAAACAGGGCTCCCAAATATTGGCAGCTTATTTAATACCTTTCTCTGCCTTTTGGGTCGCAAGAATTACAGCTGATGCCAATGTCTAATTTGTGTACGGGTGCTTTTTTTATTCGGGGCAGGCAATTCAAATTGAAAATGCAGCAAGAGAAGAAGGGCGACGAAACTCTATGGAAGTTACTAGTGAGGAAAGTGGTCTCTGCCAGGGTCATGTCTACCTTATCCCTTGCCAAGCGGAAAAGGTGAAGTTATCCATCCATCCTGCGCATGGGGCTGGCTGCAACAAATGGATTGGACCATTCAAGCCTGCAAATCGTCTTGAGAGCTGCAAGTTTGGCTGAAAATGTATGATATATTTCATTTCTTCTTTCTTTTATTTGTCTGGAAGTAGAAAATGGGCATCGAAAGATTGTTGTAAAATGAGGTTGGTAGGGTCGTTTAGTTATCGTCCTTCCCTTGGCTACCCTATGCATAGTAGGAAATTTGGTGCGTAGAGTTGTGAAGAAAATCAAGCAGAACTTTGTATGTGTACAGTACATTCATGAGCTGTTGCTTCATATGCAAGCATACTAGTCGCAATCCCTGAGTCTAATAGCCGACCTCAGAAAATTCGAGCCGTTTCTTGACTGAATTCGCAACCCATTGGTCTGGAACTTGTGCCGAAAATCTCTCGAGACTGATATCACGATCTTGAAGAGCGCATCGACCATTCTGTTCACGTCTCGGTATCTGAAACAATAGAACCATATCCCGCCAACTAGTACTTCATGGGTTACTTTGAGTAGCAGCAAGTAAACGAGCGTGCACTGTACATATTACCTAATTGGCCATTTGCTTCCATTTTCGTGCGTCGAACAAAAAGGGTGAAAGTGCATAAGATACAGGGGAAATCCTACCAGGTGGGCTTACTTGGACCCTCAACCCTTGCCCCCAATTCTGATTCATAAAACGTCACATTCTTTTGCTGCCCAAGAACTTTCTCCGATACCTGCTTGCCTAGGTTTTTCCTACTCCTTTTCTTGTTGCTAGTGCTGGGCAGGAGGAATCTGGAAAAAAAGAATGTTCGCCACTAAGGAAAGTAAAAATCATTGCCAAGATTACTTGTCTCCGAAAGTGTGAGGCGAGCCAACTTGGCCATGGAAACAGAAGAGACTGAGACCAAAACTAATCGTGGTATTGTCGAGTTGGCCATACAAACAAAAGTTACCTCTCAAGGTTCCGCAAGAATATACTCTTGCGGATGATTCAATTTTCAACAAAAATATGAAACTAATCAATCTTTTTATTTTTCCTCCAAGGCAGTTAACCTTAAGGTTGAATTCAAAATGTGATGGATGTTCTAATCCCCACCTTACGATTAGACCAACCTTAATTCACCAATCTTACTAAAAACATGAAACATAATCCATTTTAGGCAGGAAATGCGAGAATGCAAACGAATTTTGGATCTTCCTACATATGATCACCCTACAAATCACAAGGCGAATTAAAATAGTGTCGCAAATCGGGCAACTCAGTTAGTAAGATATTGTCCGCTTTGGGCCAAGCCCGCACGGATTTACTCTTGGGTGTCGTCCCCAAAAGGCCTCATACTAATTGAGCTAGGTGGGACACTTGTATACAATGGTTCCTTCCCTTGTATTTCCGATGTGGTACTTGGATTGTCCCATAACAATCCTCCCCTCAATACAAGGACCAAGAACTTCGTGTCCTCTCTCAGTGATTATATGATCTGCCAGACGCCTTGTATCGATGGGCTTCTCGGTACAAGGACTTTACCAAACGCAGAACTCTCTTTGATCTGCTTCTCAAATGCGGAACTCTCTTTGATCCGCCAAAGCCCAAACGTGGATCTCTCCTGGATCCACCAAACATACGCGAATCACTTTTGACCTGCCAGACAAACGCAGATCTCAAATCCCGAGGCCACTGAATGAGGGGTCCACCAAACTGACGTCCACTGCCCCAAATCTGCCGAACCAGGCTCTGGTACCACTTGTCATAACCAGGCTGCTCATTAGTATGATATTGTCCACTTTGAACCAAGCCTGCACGGTTTTACTCTTGGGTATCCTCCCCAAAAGGCCTCGTACTAATTGGGCTAGGTGGACACTTATATATAAGGGTTCCTTCCCTTGTATTTTCGATGTGGTACTTGGATTGTCCCATAACAATTCAAACCGGGGTGCTCAATTAGTACGATATTGTCCACCTAGGTTCGATGGTGACTACAATCACTGGATTCTCCATCATGGATTCTCCTGATGGAGAATCTACTTTGTTCCAAAGAGTACAGGCATGTTGTGCAACAAGGATTCAAAGACAGGAAATGTGAGGAGTTGTTAGAAGATGAGACGAAGGCTCTTGATGATCTGAAGATGAAGGACTTGAAGGCTAAGAACTATCTCTTTAGCTCCATCGACATGGTCATCCTCAAGACCATCTCAAAGAAAGGTACTGCTATAGATTATGGGATCCAATGAAATTTAAGCATCAAGACAATGCTAGGGTGTAGAAAGCGAGTCTACAAGCTCTTAGAAGGAACTTTGAAATCATTGAGATGAAAGAAGGAGAATATGTGACCAGTTACTTCACTAGGGTCATGACCATAGCAAATGCCATAAGAAATTGTGGTATAGGAATGACTGCCCATAATGGTATAACAATCAACAAGTTCACTATTCTAGTTCCAGTTATGTGCAAGATCATCAGTCGTATGGAGATATGAAGGATGACATGTTATGCATGGCTCAAGTTGATTACATGCCTGAGGAATAAGAGAAGATGGATGTTGACTGCCTTATGGCTTTTGTAGAAGACCATTCTGTGAGTAAGGACTCAGACTAGTAGTTCCTTGACTAAGGATGCTCCAATAATATGATTGGAGAACAAAAATAGTTCATTGGGTTGGATTCTGGCTTCACTTGCAATGTCAGGCTAGGTAACAACTCAAAATGAATGTTGCTGGAAAAGGCAGTATCAAGTTGGTGATCGATCAACTTTCAGTGATTGTTCAGGAGGTGTTCTATGTTTCAGAGCTTAAAACCAATTTGCTCAGTCTAGGCAGTGGCAAGAAAAGGGTCTCTCGTTTCTGATCAAAAGTGGAAGCTGCAAGATATTTCATGAAGAGAAGGATCTGCTACCTTAGACAGAGATGAAATCAAACAGAATGTTTGTGTTACATTCTACTACAGTCAATTCTTACCAGAATCACCAGGTTCAGTGTCTGCAGACTGGGGGAGGAGCTTCAAACTCTCACCTGACCGAGTGGCATCGAAGGTTTGGCCATATCAATGTTCAAAGCCTTACGCAGCTGCAACGATGGGATTTAGTTCAAGGCCTACCTCTTCTCAAGGGAGATATTGGAGTCTATTTAACCTGTCTGATTGGGGAAGCAACACAAACAACATTTTCCTAAGAAAAGCTAAGGGAGAGCATCTTATAAGCTTAAACTCATGCATGCTGATCTTTGATGACCACTCACACCAGCATCAATCAGTGGAAGAAGGTATATTCTCACATTAACTGATGATTATAGTAAGAAATTGTGGGTATATTTTTTGTTTGCTAAGTCTGAGGCACTATAATGGTTCAAATAATACAAAGCCCAAGTTGAAAAGGAGACATGACTGGTCATTAAGAGTCTCAGAACAGACAGAGGAGGTGAGTTTATGCTTACAAAATTCTATGATCTCTGTGAACAGGCTTACATTAGAAGACACTTAATAGTTGCACTTACATTTCAGCAAAATGGGGTGGTTGAGAGAAAGAACATAACAATAATGAATATGGTGAGGTGCATGTTGCACGACATGAATGTTCCAGTAGTTTTATGGGCTAAAGATGTCACCTGGGCCACACATGTGCTCAATAGAAGTCCTACATTTGCTAATCAAGGCATGGCTGCTCAGGAGTAGGGGTGGGCATGCAGTTCGGTTTTACCGAACCGAACCGAACTAAAACCGACCGAAACCGAATTAAACCTTGTTAGGTTCGGGATTCGGAATGGGATATTTTATATTTCGGAAATCATCATCGTTTGAACCGAACCGAACTTCCGATTTGCCGACCGAATTCCGAATTTCCAACCCAGTCCACTAACTCTGAGGCCTGAGTCCATCCTCTCTCTCTGAGCCCATTCTGAAATGTGCCCCTAGGCCCAACCCAACTCCATTTTCGCACTGATCCACTCCCTCATAAGTCACAACTGAAACCCGACCCACCCAAATGATCTCTCGGCCTCGCACTCGCACTCGCAGGTCGCATATCTTTCTCTTCGCAGTTCGCACAAAAAACCCTAGCCTACCAATACTGTCCAGTAGTAGCCGCCAGCCGAAATCGAAAGGAGAGAAAGGAAAATAAAATGCCTTTAATTTCTTACCATTAGATCTAAACTTTTTGGATCCACTGAAAAAGGAAGGTCCAGATTTAGTTATGCAAGTATGCATACTCTAACTTGAGTCGGACCATGTGGCGGCTAGTGATTGGATTATGCATGGCTATTGACGATTCATGTATGTTTCATATGCTTGGAAAGTTTCTTAATTTTTAATTCCGTTACCTTTTATGAGTTATTTTATTTTCTTTGATGGATTTTCTCTTGCATGGTATTACGTGGGATACCTACTTTTATTTCTCATCTAAATGATAAGAATAACTTATCAACACGGCTGCTTACATGTACAAGTTGAATTTGTTTTATAACATTGAAAGAATAAGTTAAACTTGGACCATAAAGAAATTTGTATGAATACATATAAGCACAAATTGAATTTGTACCATAATATTAAGTACATTATTTGATAACATTAAGTACTAAAAGATACCGATACAAACTGAATTTGTTTCATAATGTTAAAGATAAACTGAATTTATACCATAACAATAAATGTACAAATTCAGTTTGTATACTATAAATTTTTTAAACAAAAATACCGATGGTTATAAGCATAGTAAACGAAGCTCTTTCAGTGACGAACACTAACAAGTAGGGGTATCCATTCGAGTTCGGATTTTCGTTTTTAACCGATACCGAACCAATTAGATACATTATCAAGTTTTTGTTTTTGGATTTGGTTTTGCTTATCGATTTTTATTGGTGAACTCAAACATCCAATGTTTATTTTGTTCAAACACCGTCGTAAAGAAAATAAGAAGCAGAAGAATTCACGTGATTTGTTCAATCAAATTTTATGTTTGGCTGATTATAAAAAAAAATTATGTTTGGCGTCCACAAGTGTATAATATTTGAATTCTCTTATTCTTAGGGCACCGGCCAATATGAAGTGTTATGAGACCATTCAAGTAGCATATCAGAAATATGAGAGAAGAGACTTTTATATATTAAGTGTCCACTTAGTACAATTAGTACGAAACTTTTTGGGAAGGATAACCAAAAGTAAGACCGTGTCGTCTTGACTCAAAGCGGACAATAGTATACTAATGGAGTCGTCCGGTTTCGTTTAGGCCTTTTGGGAAATATACCCAAAGTTAAAATCGGACACTAACCTAGTAATAGAGCTACGCGTGCGTTTGCTCCATTTATTTAATTTTGGTAGAAATTGCTAAATTTATTTGGGAAGTTGATACATCGATCCATCAGACTTGAAAGGGGTAAAGCTCAAACCTCAAGAGACAATCAGTATTCCACGCTTGAGCGCCCATGCGGTGATGGCAATGCTGGTTCTCGATCACGTCCTTAGCTTGATTAAGGCACCCACTCCGGTTCTCCTCGACCCAGCTGTAACCGTAGATAGTCGAGTCGCCGCAATCCTGATTCTTATACCCTCCACTGGCCTCCAGAGTAACCTCCGGTCCCATCAATATCTCCAGCAAATCATATACACAACCCAGCCGGTGATCGTCGTAGGAGAAGGTGTCAGGGTTGCAAAGCCACTGTACGCCGGAGCCCTCGCCGGCGGCAGCCCAAGTATGATAAAATATGATGATGAGCAAAACCACCACCAGGAATACCTTATTATCATTCCCTGATGAACCCATCTTTTTTATTTTATTATTATTATGGGAGCTTGCCCGCATGAGTATTTGGTCACTTCCATTTATAGTGCTTGACCGATTCGGCAAAGCTAGGCGGTAAATCGGCAGCATCAGAATATCAAAGTGTAGAGTGTAGACGACATTCACATTCGGCCCTGATGCTGTGCATCCAGTTGTTTGCCTATAACTACTATGTCTATGTTTTGGTCAGTCTTCTTTGTTTGTTTATTGTTTTGAAATTGATACCCAAATGGTAATGGACGGCAACAATATGTAGTTTGGGGTAACAGGAATTCATGTCGCGCGCGTAAGGTTTTCATATGGATGGAAAGTTCCAGTCATTTTGTTTTTGATTCTGTTTCCGAGTTTTTTATTTTATTTTTATTAAATGGAATGTCTACTTTTTTTTTTATTACCCAGCAAACTCAGTTTCACGTGCCACTTTGTAAAAGCGGAGTATACTAAATCTGTGGGTTGCCTGCATTTAATTCGAGCCTAATGGGACTTTGCACTGAGTAGTTTCATACCTCCGAGAATACCAACGAGACTCGCTTGGATTCAAACCTGGGATTGGGGTTGATAATCATATCTGTCATTTTGGTTTTTAATGGGTAAGATTTAGAGGTGATATTAAAAGCTCTATCTTTTCATCTACTTGTATTTTTTTTGGGTAAATTGCAAGTTTGGTCACTGAGTTTATTAAAAAGGTTCATGTTTAGTCACTACAAATATTTGATTTCTTTCGTAGTCATCAAAATTAGTTTCGCAGTTCAAGTTTGGTCACTCTCCGTCCATTTCCGTTAACTTTATCTGATGTGGCAGTCAACCCTCATAGTTGACCGTTAAATGAGTGACGTGGCAGTTAAAAATAATAAAAATAATAAAAGTTAATCTTTTATGTTTTCCACATCATTTTTACAATAAATTAAAATAAAAAATTAGCTATATATCTAATAGGAGTGAAGAAAGGCTGGAGGGCCTCTAATTACCGTCCAATAATGGATTACAGCCTAGGTTCTCTTATCCCATTCGGAGCACTTTGTCGTCGCCGTAATTTCCCGAACAGCTCTGCTTCTAGCCCCGCGTCACCGTCACTCCACCCGCACACCACCATCGCAGCCAGTCTTCGTCGGGATTTGCCTCCATCTCCAGCCTTCTCGTCGCTTCACCTGCCAACCGCTGCACCGCCTCCAACCACTGCACCGCCTCCAACACTGCTAGTACTAGGGTTGGGCATTCGGTCGGTTCGGTCGAAACCAAACCGAAATTATGAATATCGGGTCCCCGAATTCTCCCAAATCTCAAACCAAATTCGAACCGAATTATAATTCGGTTCGGTTTGGTTTTTCACACAAAACCGAATTTGTGAAACTACTTGTATTTTCTCACTTTTAAATTATTTTTCACCCCTAATATAAACAATAAATATCAATTATATGCATAATCAATGATAAACCAAACTTTTCAAAACATAAGTCTTAAAACATTTCAAATATTTAAGTCTACAAACATAAAAATCCATCATTTGGAGCTTGCAATTATAGTATTTCGGTTGGAAATTCGGAAATTCGGTTAGGTTGAAAGAGCCCTGATTTCCGAACTATCCATATTTTCCTTCCGAATTCCGAACCGAATAGCATTAATTCGGTTTTGGTTCGGTTTAATTCGGTCTCGGTTCGGTGCGGGTTTACCGAACCGTTTGCCCACCCCTAGCTAGTACGGAAGGGAGAGCGAGAGATAGCAATGCTTTTGGTTTAGCTTTTTGAGGAGGTTGGGTGATTTCCTCGCTCAAGCATCCCGCCGCCTCAAGCTTCCGCCAGTGCTTTGTTTGATTTTAATGACGAAGATGCAATTATAACCTAGATCTTGGTGTTTAGTACAGTTGACAAAAGTTCTTGGCAGCTGAAACCATGCGCGTCGATCTGCTACTGCTATTCAATGGTGGGGATTTCATAGATCCAACAATGAACCCAAGTACCCAATGGTTCTAATTCGATGCCACCACTTCAGACGCTCTGTCACCGCCACCGCTCTATTCGCTCTTGCCGCCTTCGCTCCTCACGATTTCCCTTCCTTCTCCTGCAATCGCAAGCTCATCGGCGCAAGGAGTGAGCAATGGAATGATCTCGGGGCAAAGGAGTGAGTGTCGATAGAGATTTTGTGGGTGAAGGAGTGAGTGGCGATGGCTAAGAATTTGGAAGAGTTGCCGGCGATCTTGCCGCTAAAGTGTGAGCGACGACTGCAAGCAGAGAGGAAAGGGAGAGGTTAATCGGAAGGAGCTCGTTTAGTCTTCATCGGCTAGGGGACACGGCGGCGAGAAGAAAGATTGGGAGGCGGCGGTGGGAAAATACAGGGGCCGGCGACTAATTTTTTTAATAATAAAAAAATAATTTTATTATTATATTTTTTATAGTTGGAAATGAGGTGGAAAATTTAAGAAAATAAATTTATTTATTTTTAAATTTTTTAATAGCCATGTCACATGTTTAACGGTCAACTATAAGTGTTGACTGCCACATAAGCAAAAGATAACAGAGTTGGATGGAGAGTGACCAAATTTGAAACATTTAATTAATTTTAGTGACAATGAAGGGAATTAAATATTTATAGTGACCAAACATGAATGCTTTTAGTAATTTTAGTGACCAATCTTGCAATTTACCTTGTATTTTTTGTTTAACCAGAATTTTTAAAAAAAAATACATTTATTTTTTATTGTGAGGAAGTTTTTTTTCGTATAGTCCATTATCACATGATAATGATACCACCTTGTATATGACAAAAAGTTCAAGACGATGATTAGTATATTCTATTAATATTTATACAATCATTCAACATTACGGTATATTCATACCATTATGATACACTTTCATATCACGATGGTATATTCTTATCAGGGTCGTCTAATGGATCGTGGAGATTGTTCTAGAACTGAGATGTGGTCAATTTTTTAAGTTTAATAAAATAAAAATGGCCATAGCGCCATCATTTAAACAATAATTTGAAATAATTTTATCTATTAACTCTTCAAATTTTGTTTTGAGCGAGAAATAATTTTAAATCATAATCATCGTTTAATCCATTAAGAATTTATTTTGTCACTTTATAACACAAATATGGTTTTTGAACATATATGGTACTTAACGATGAATATACATGTTTAATTTATATATACGTGAGAATACTAAACTACTACCACTAGTTTAGTTAACAAATTTAAAGCAATATTGTAACTATAATCAATCAATCATACACTATAAATCCTTACTTAATATTATAGGAATTCAAAACTAAATCTTTGCCACATAAGCACTTGGATGACTCTAATTCTTCCATGGTGGACAAGTTCTAATTATAAATTTTTTCCTTACACTTAAAATCATCATTATTATCATTAAAATGTGCATTAAGTTAATAACAATGAATGCAATCTTTTGGTTTGTTTCTATTGATTTTCCAGTGTAGATGATCTAAATAAAATTGGAAATTGGAAAAAATAAAAGATAGAAATTGGGTCAAACCCTATAAAACAAACAAAACTCTTTTCTTATTTATTCAAAATTTTGAGATTTCTAGCATTTTTGTTTTCTTCTCTACTATTTTATGCATAGATACATCAACATGTAAGGAAAATGTAAGACATATAGAGTTTTTTTCATTGCGTCAGTTACAAGAGGCAACAATTAGATGAGAAACAATTGAGTAGTTGTAATATATTGTTCCTGTTGGCAAAAAAGTTCTTATCATTGCGAATACGAAGTAAACCAAGCCAAGTATTATCGACAACTCCCTATTCTCCCGTGATTCGCAGCTGATGACTGACCTCTCTTCTCCAACGGTATTTGGCTGCTTGTGATTAACTGGTCGGGTTCTACTCTTCTTTCCATTTCTTAAGTACTTTCATATTATGGTGGCAGGGTTGTAAATTGCCCTACTTGATCTACCATTGTCTTTCATCTTCGCTTTAGGTATTATTCAAAACTAAATTACTGCCACATCAGCACATTGATAGCTCTCATCCTTTCATGGTGGGCAAGTTCTAATTATAAATGGCGTACCTTATGTTAACACTTTCAATCGTCATTATCATTAATAACACATAAATTTAAGTTAAGAACAATGAATGCAACCTTTTAGTTTGTTTCTATACGTTTTTTCTGTATAAATTAGCTCTCTAAAAATAAAACCCATCATTAGAAAGAATAAAATTAATTGAGTGGGTCAAGCCCTGTAAAAACAAACAAAAATATTTTCTTCTTTGCTCAAAAGTTCGAGATTTCTAGCATTTCTCTTTTATATTATTCACTAGCTTATAACCCGGCCCGTTGGCCGGAATATTTATATTTGATTATTTATATTTTCATGTTACGTTTAATCTATCAACCCGTTTAATTTTATTGACAATCCTTCGATCGAAATACATAAAGAAAGAATATGTAGATCAAACATTTGGAGAAATATAAAAATGTATCATTGATCTCATTTCCAAAATGATAATTAAGTCCCCAGTAAACTGCTATTAGTTAGTTGATTGTCAAGAAAGATAGAGTATAAAACCTTGCAATCCTACATAAAGGTTCAATGCTCTCATTTTAGGAACAATATGCCACTTATCAAAAAGAAATGAAGAGTTGTTGATTACAGTCAACTATATGATAACAACTCAGCCAAGAGGGAACCATCGCAACTTGAGAGCAAACGCTAAAATTAGGGTTACTTCCAATACACTAATAGATTCGATTAAAGTAATAAGGAACAAAAGTAGACACTCCCTCTCTATCAGTTCCAGTATGTTTGAATAAATAATCGACCGACCTACTTCAGTAAATCAATTGATGATTCCTCGTTTTAAGATAGAATTAGGTTGCGATAGCTTGAAAATCGATAAACCTAAAGATCCAATAGCCACCCCTCTCTGTTGTACAATAATTTTTTTTATCCCCTTTATCTTCAATCTCAACAAGCGTATGTTTCAACCAAAAATTCCATTTTTAATCCTCCTTCAGCACCTCCATATATTGAACTCCATTCT